TTAGCTGAGTGACATGGTTATCCCTTAGCTATGTAACGTAGTTATCCCTTAGCTATGTAACATCGTTGTTATCATTTAGCTGAGTGACATGGTTATCCCTTAGCTATGTAACATCATTGTTATCATTTAGCTGAGTGACATGGTTATCCCTTAGCTATGTAACATCATTGTTATCATTTAGCTGAGTGACATGGTTATCCCTTAGCTATGTAACGTAGTTATCCCTTAGCTATGTAACATCGTTGTTATCATTTAGCTGAGTGACATGGTTATCCCTTAGCTATGTAACATCATTGTTATCATTTAGCTGAGTGACATGGTTATCCCTTGGCCATGTGGCACAGTCACTCGTCGGTCACATAGCGCAGTGATGACTCTGTATCTCTAACCACCCATGTGTATAAACGGCTGTGTATGAACCGGCCGTGTATTAACCGCGTCGTCGGCCATGTTTGTAGGAGCTTCGGTACTCGCTGCGATCACTGCAGACGCACGCCCCCTGGGTACGACACATCTACATCGTCACTAACGGACAGATCCCCTACTGGCTGAACTTGGACAACCCTCGCATCACCATAGTTACGCACGAGGTGAGCGCGTCGGCCAATCACGTTGGTTCTCCGACTGCGTGTGATTTACTCAAAAAATTTTTTTTTACATTTCTAAATAAATTTTTCTAAATAAATTTTTTCCATTTAAATTAAAATTAATTGATTACAATTATTAAAATTTAATGTAGAAAAATTCGTGACAATGCCGCGCCGTGGGTTCATCGAACTTTGGTGGTCTTTGAGAAAACAATGGTCTGTGAAGGGTGTTCGCGTGGTTCTAACTTCAGGAAATCTACCCGAACGCCAGTCACCTGCCCACGTTCTCATCGTCGTCGATAGAGAGCAACATCCACCGCATCCCCGGCCTCTCCGCCAAGTTCATCTACATGAACGACGACGTCATGTTCGGCAAGGACGTCTGGCCCGAGGACTTCTACACACACAGCGGCGGCCAGAAGGCAGGTGGCGCCGCCCGGTGGTCGCCAGAGCAAACTTTGTTCGAGTTTCGGGTAGCGCGTTGTGATGCAAAGGACCCTACTTTAAAATCGTGATGCTCTCTCGTCTCTCTCTCTCTCTCTTCTCTCTCTCTCTCGCCTCCCCTCTCTCTCTATCTTCGTCTCTGCTCATCGTCTCTCTCTCTCTCTGCTCTCTTCTCTCTCTTCTCTCTTTCTCTCTCTGCTCTCTTCTCTCGCTCTCTCTCTCTCTCCTCTCTTCTCTCTCTCGTCTGCTCTCTCTCCCTCTCTCTCTCTCTCTCTCTCTCTCTCTCTCTCTCTCTCTCTCTCTCTCTCTCTCTCTCTCTCTCTCTCTCTCTCTCTCTCTCTCTCTCTCTTCTCTGCTTCTCTCTCTCTCTTCCTCTCTCCTTCTCTCTCTCTCTGCTCTCTCTCTCTCCTCTCTCTCCTCTCTTCTCTTCTTCTCTGGTTCTCTCTCTCTCTCTCTCTCTCTCTTCGCCAACGCGTCTCTCTCTCTCTCTCTTCTCTCTCTCATCATACTGCTCTTCTCTTCTCTCTCTTCCTCTCTCTCTCTCTCTCTGCTCTCTCCTCCTCTCTCTCTCTCATCTCTTCTCTCTCTCTCTCCTCTCTCGTCTCTCTCTTCTCCTCTCTTCTCTCTCTCTCTCTCTCTTCTACTCTTCTTCTTCTTTCTCTCTCTCTCTCTCTCTCTCTCTATCTCTTTCTCTCGAATCTCTCTCTTCTTTCTCTCTTCTCTCCATTCGCATTCTCTTTCTCTCTCTATCGCTCCTCTCTCTCTTCTCGATCGCTCTCTCTCTCTCTCTTTCTCTGCTCGCTCTCTACTCTCTCTCTCTCTCTCATCTTCTCCCTGGCTTCTCTCTCTCTCTCTCTCTCTACTCTCTCTCTCTCTCTCTCTCTCTCTCATCTCTTCTCTCTCGTCTCTTCTCTCGTCTCTCTCTCGTCTCTCTCTCTCTCTCTCTTCTCTCTCTCATCTCTCTCTTCTTCTCTCTCTCTCTCTCTCTACGTCTCTCTCTCTCTCTCGTCTCTCTCTTCCCATCCATTGACGCGGTCTCTTGCTGCTATGTATGTGTTCCTGTCTCTCTCTCCCCATGCCCTGGACGCTCTCTCTCGATCGCTCTGACTATGTAGGTGTTCCTGGCTCTCTCCCATGCCTTGACGCTCTCTTCTTGCTATGTATGTGTTCTGGTCTCTCTCTCTCCACCCCTGACTCTCTCTCTTCTGCTACTGTATGTGTTCTGTCTCTCTCTCCCCATCCTGACTGTTCTCTTCTCCTGCTTATGTATGTGTTCCTGATTCTTCTCTTCTTCCCACCCCTGACATCTCTCTCCCCAACCCTGACACTCTCTCTCTCTCTGCCTATGTATTGTTCCGTTGTTCTCTCTCCCCACCTGCGCTCTCTCTCTCCTGGCCTATGTATGGTGTTCTTGGTCTCTCTCTCCTCCCTGACTCTCTTCTCTTTCTGCCTATGTAGTGTTCTTGTTCTCCTCTCTCCACCTGCTTCTCTCTCTCTGGCTTGAATGTAGTCGATTTCCTGGTCGTCTCTCCCGAAACCTTCTCTCTCTCTCTCTTCCTGCTGTGAGGTGTTCCCTGTCTCTCTCCCAACCCTGTTCGCATCTCCTCTCTCTTCCTGCATATGTAGGTGTTCTTGTCTCTATCTTCCCGATCCCTTGATCTCTCTCTCTCTCTGCTATGTATTTGTTTACTGTCTCTCTCTGCGCGCCACTCCTGACGCTCTCGCTCTCTCCTGCTATGATATGTGTTATGTCTCTTCTCCCCTCCCTGACGTTCTCTGCTCTTCCTGCTATGTATGTGTATCTGTCTCTCTCTCCCATCCCCCTGCTCTCTCCTCTCTGGCTATTGTCTGTGTTTTTTGTCTCTCTCTCATCACCCATGGACTTCTCTCTCTCTCCTGCTTATGTAGGTGTTCCTGGCTTTCTTCCCAACCCCTGTCTTCTCTTCTCTCTATCCTGCTATTGTAGGCGTTCTTTGTCTCTCTTCCCATCACTGACTCTCTCTCTCTCCTGCTAATGTATGGTACCTGTTCTCTTCCCATCCTACTCTCTCTCTCCTGCTATGTATGATTGTTCGTGTCTCTCTCTCCCCCATCCCTGACTCTCTCTTCTACTTTGCTATGTAGTGTTCTCTCTCTCTCGTCCCCGTCTGATCATCTCTTCCCATCCTGACTCTCTCTCTCTCTCCTATGTATGTGTTCGCTGTCTTTCTCTCTCCCTTCCTGACTTCTCATCGTCTCTCTCTCTTGCTGCTATATATGTGTCTGTCTCTCTCTTCCCAACCCCGACGCTCTCTCTCTCTTAGTAGCTATGCTGAGGTGTTAGTGATCTGAAGGCGGGAAGTTACCCGGGGGGGATGTGCTGGTTTGTGTTGGTTGCGGGATCCACCACAGATGGGGGGTGGCTCATAGCCCTACGTCGTGGATCAACGAACGCGCATATTGCCCGACAGAGGGGATGCAACAAAGGTGTGACTGGACCGGCGGCGACAGGCGCGGTGAGTTTACTCCCCGCCGTCGAGTTACATGTTCTATAGTGGGGCGACTAGCAGAGTGACTCTGACTGACCTTATATCCTGCGCGTTTCATCTGCGCCGTCTTCGCGACGCTTTTGGTCTGCGTTTCTACGACCGTTCGTCTGCCATTTCCCGCGACCTTTTCGTCTGCCGTTTCGCGGACCTGCTCGGGCTGCCGTTTCCGGCGACTCTTCGTCTGCCTGTAGTCGCGACTTTTGTCGCTCTGTTTTGCCGTTTCTGCGACCTTTCGTGCTAGCCATTTTCACGACCTTTCGCGTAACCGAGTCTTCCGCGGACCTTTCGTCTGGCCGTTTGGCCGCACGGAACTCTTTCCTTTGCTACCGTCTGCCAGGCTAAACGATGGCCGCGTTCTCGCGAACCTGGCGTCGTGTTGAGACCGTGAGAAGAGGTCCGTTACAGCGTCCGGCCGACTTGCGTTCGGCGACCTGGGGACAAGGCAGACCACTGCCAGCCGCTGGCTGCGCATGTGAGCAGCGTGCGCGTGGCGCGCGACAAGATACTCGACGGGTAGTGCAGCACATACCGAGTGCCGGTGTTCGACGCGGAAGACTGCCGGCCGACAAAATATATACAACAACCATCGGCTCCGGTCTGGTCGCCGTCAGCCAACTAACGGACAGCCAGCTACGGCTGCCGGTTCAGCGTGGGGTGGGCGAGCGACAAGGAGGAAGCGGGGAGAGGAGAGAAGGCGAGGGGAGGGGAAGGAGGGAAGCAGGACAGAGAGGAGAGCAGATGGAGGGAGGGAAGATAGACGGAGAGCGAGGGAGAGAGCGGTGAGGAAGAAGAGCGGGGGGAATAGGGCAGGGAGAGAGACAGAGGAGGGCAGGAAATTGAGAGATAAGGGGGAGAGGGTCGGGAGAGGAGGGTTAGCGCTAAAACGGCGACGGCGCGGCCAGGAGCCGACGGAGAGGTGTGTAGTAGAGAGAAGGAGGTAGAGAGGGAGGGTGAGAGAGGGGGAGTGGAAGGATGGAAGCGAGAGAGGGATGGGGGAAGTAAAGAGGCAAAAGAGGAGGGAAAGAGAGGTAGAGTGGGATGGAGGGAGAGGTAAAGTGAGATAAAGAGAGAGAAGGTGGAGAGAGCACGGAAGAAAGAAGGAACCGGGAGGGGAAGGAGGGAGGGAAACTGAGGAGAATGGAGTATGAGGTGGAGGAAGGGTGAGACTTTGGTTCAAAATTATCTTATACTGATGCTGTGAGAAATAGACAACATGCATCTTTTCACATATGGACAGCTGACCCTATGCAGTGTAATTCACGCTGCCGTTATGTTTCCGCTTTCCATGCAGGAATCAACGTGTTCTACCTGGATCTGTCCGCGTTGTTTCCGGAAGGATCCGAGATCACGGACGCGAGTTACGAGGAGCATCCTGTCATCCGGACGGGCGGAATCTCGCAGCCGCACAAGACGCTGCACATGATCCTGTACGGAGAGCACAACCAGACGAACATCACCCTGACCGGAGCGGGCACCACCGTCGACGCCAAGGTGCCGCACGCTCTCGTGTTTTTTTCTCTCTCCCGTCGCCACGTTTGTCGCACTGCTAGCGGAGTGCCGGCGTCGTTGATGGAGCGATTTCTCGCGAGTGGTTTCTGCGGTTTTGCTCGTTTTTTAACGTTGACTCTAACCGCTTTAACGGGTTGTTGCGTGCGAGTGTTTGCGTTGTGTGAGTCGGGGTGGGGTTAACCCCAGCATTTGAGAATGTCGAGCGAGTGTTGTTGTTGTGGCTGTTGTTTTTGTTGTTTTCAAGATTACTATTGTCGTTGTTGTCTTTGTCATTGTTTTCGTTGTCGTTTGGGGTGTTGTCATCGTCTTTGTTGTCATTGTCGTGGGGTTGTTGTCGTTGCATTGTGTTTGTCGTCATCGTCATCATCGTTGTCATTATTGTCGTCATCTTTGTAGCTAATGTCGCGTTGCCTGTCTCTACCTGTCTCTGCAGTTTGTCACGTTCATGGTGCGTCTGACGGTGGACACGCTCCACGTGCGACGCTACAACTACACCGTTCCCAAGGAGCTGCAGGCAGACGCAGACGCCGCCGCCGCTGCCGCGATGGACTACGACCAGCTGCCGCTCACGTTCGCTGAGATACCGCCGGATAAACGGTGAGTGGGGCCCCTCGGCTGTCGGTGTCTGTAGGCGACGAACTATGCTGATATTTGAGCGCGTGCAAAATGGGGCTCTGAAGTTGGGCTCTGTTATTGTGCGTGTTGTGTGTGTTGTGTGTGAGCGTGTTGTGTCATACACGTGTTGTGTGTGAGCGGTGGGGTTGAATGAGATTGCGTGTGCATTTGCGAATGTCAAAGCAGTGGTGGTCTCGTTGTTGTTGTTGTTATTGTTTTTGTTGTTGGTGGTGGTGGTGGTGGTGGTGGTGGTGGTGGTGCTGGTGGCGGCGGCGGCGGCGGCGGCGGCGGCGGCGGCGGCGGTGATTGTTGTTGTCATCATCGTAATCCATATCACTGATATTGATGTTGACGTTGTTATCGTTACGTTTATATGATCTTACTAAATTTTCACACACACATACACATGCGCGCGCACACCATCAATCTGTGAGATGTACACTGCACCCAGGGTTTTCCCTT